GGTTGATCAGTCGCGTTAACGATTCTTTCCGTATCCGTTCTGCCTCCAGGATGTCCTATTTTCGCTCTAATATCTCCAGCAAGGCGCTTACCGCCTTCTCGCCTGAGATGTTTGTGTACATGGATTCTATATCGAAACTCACTATCAATTCCGTCCTTACCAACCAAATTTTCTGGATCCTTTGAGAAAATTCATATGATTTCTTGATGGTATTCAAGGGTCGGTCATTTACTTTCGTGAGCTTCAGGTAAATAAATTTCGCTAGTTTGTGCATTGCGCCAGCTTGTTATTGACTATTAGTCTTAGAGGATTCCCTTCCTTGTGTATCTTCGGTAGTCCGTAGGCTGTCGGTGGTCTTGCGTCAATTGTGATTATAGATTTCATCATCCATATATCAATTTCCTCATTATTATGCATTTCTTTGAGCATATTCTTCAGTTTCCCGTTGATCTTCATTGTTGGATCCTTCCTTAGTATTTGATAAGTGTTTCGGTCACCTAGGATTCTTTTCATTTACTCCGTGTATTGTTTCCTATCCATTAAAACCGTCGCTCCTCTCTTATCCGCCTGAAGAACTATTTGATCATTCTTGTGAAATTTTTTCCGAATACCAGCCAATCTGCTTCTGTTTATCGATTCTTGATGTATCAGGATCCGTGGGATTATTTCCAGTTCTATCTCCTGCCTTGTTTCTTCTGGATATTTATCCGTGATATTGAAAACTTCCACCAAAATATCACTAAGAACATTTCCTTCGTCACCAAGAGAAAAATGGAACCCCTTCTTTAAGAAATCCGTATTTTCAGAATCAAAATGATTGAAGATAGGTTTACTAGCTTAGTCCTACCATCGTCTGTAGCAGTTGATGCCTTCAATACAGAAACATCAAAATTTGCCTGGATTATCCCATAACAAAGCGATTTCTTATCATGTCGCATATTTATCAATCCCGGACCCTCTGTGACTTCTGGTCGGTCATGCTCTGGAGTTTTTGAAAATCATCCAAAGCGAGAACCTTACCTAAATTCTTCCTTAATCTAGACTTAAGATCTATGAACTTAAATAGTTTACGCTTCTCGGTCTCGTAACTTTCCTCTAATTTCTGCATGGAATCATGATAAAGAATTTCATTTACTGTGTCCAAATGACACTTCCTCATTAGATTGCATGATTGGGGAGCGATAACATAATGTTTGCAACAATTTAAAAAAGCAAAATGGCAGGATTGACTTACAATTGTCTTCTTTGACTGTCTGTAATTGTAAGTCAATCATGCTATTTGGCCGTTTTGAATTGTTTCAAGCATTATGGTATCGCTCCCCGATTCTGCATTCTAATAAGGAAGTGTCATTTGGACACAATTAATGTAATACTTTATCAAGCCTCCATTCAGAAATTAGAGGAAAGTTACGAGACTGAGAGGCGTAAGCTATTTAAATTCATAAGTCTCAAGTCTAGATTAGGGAATGATTTAGGTAGGGTTCTCACTTTAGATGCTTCACTTAATTTCTGACTGTTGAACCTAGCCTAGACGGTGATGTATTATACTGAATATTACTTATTTTTACTATTATTATTGCCTATTCTTAAATGGGTTTATCTAATTAATTAATTTTTATTCATATATAATGTTAACTTTTATGTAAAATAATGATCATGACAATATAAGAGGTTCATTGTCTTCCTCAATTGAATAATGCTCACAAAGACTGATCGGACAAATAAACAAATATCTTTTTTAATAGTTCACAAATATAGTATGGATTTTATAAAATTAAGTGATACTTCATGTTCAGAAACCAACTTGGTCGAACTGAATAAAAGAACAGCAGAGCTGAGCACAATCAGGCATTCAAATAATATAAAATCTTGGTTTCTATCGATATTTTCGCGCTATAGATGGTCTTCCTGCAGTCTAGAAAGTGCATCTGCACGAGCCTCCCAGAGAAGAAGGTTTTTTAAGCATTTTTTAAGTAGCGCTTCCGTAAAGTCGTTCCTAATAAACTGATGCCATCTTTCAAAGAGAGGCTTGACAAGAAAGCGAATGAATCCTAAAACAAAGTATATGTAAGATTAGTTTGTTTAGACAGAATGCCAACGCTTATTTCATAGCCTATATTAATTTATTTTTATTTTAACTTTCAAAACCCTCAAGATATTCCCCCGTGGTTTTCGGGACTACATCTTAAATATTTATCCGTTGGAGCAGTTTGCTTATAACGACGACATTGGTTAGATCTCATGTGCCACTCAGTGTCCTACCTCGGTGTCATATCGCAATGCTCCTCCAGCAGCATCATGTGTCAACGAATCACCAGTGGGATGTCCCGATATTTAGTAGTCCTTTAAGGGCAGCCTGGGTAAGTCAGAGTCTACAAGAATATTTCCTCTCCTATCCGTTACAACAAAAAAGACTTTGCCTTGAGCAAATTTGAATAGACTTCGTGTTTCCGCGTTGAGGCTGCATGCAGCATCCGATAATTGAACTGCTTTGTACCACTATGCAACATGCTGTCTTTGTTTCCATTTCACCATCCTTTAAACTTCCGACCATGTCCACTTCAAACAAGTTTCTGTATACATGATCTCTTTTATCTCGCATTTGCATTTAAAAGTATAGATATTCAATAGAATAACAACTGTTATTTTATCCAACAGAACTGATATATTCATATTTTGCGAATTAAGTCAAAACTTTATTTGTTTGCTAAGTTTAAAAAATATTTTTTAAGTTGTTAATTGTAGTGCTTGGATAATTCGCAAGGAACTATTTATATACTCAAGAAAATATTGTATTTTAGCGCAGGCAAATTCATTTTGAGTAACTTTTAAGGTTGGCTCACTTAGTTCGTTAAAGTAACTAAGCACAATTTCGAAGATTTTACATGTTTCTATTTATCAAATAATTTATGGTTATTGAATATGAAAGGCAATGGGTTGATTTAAAATCAGCTCTTTTCTTCAACGATCAAAGAGAAATTTACCTATTTGAATTTTCGGCTTTGTGGTTGCATAACGATCCATAGTTGGCGCGATGGGCAAATTATATTCTCGTTCTCTATCTCCTTGGCGAAAAAACTCCTCAGTAACAAGTGCTACCCAACTGACATAAACTTCCCACTTGCGGCAGGGATTTGAAATATCTGCGCATTTCAGGGCCAACTGAAAGTAGTCCAAAGAAGGATTATTAAAATAAATCAACATTCCGTAGCGGAATAAAACAATTGGTTACAAACAAGAGACATTTAATACAATCGATCAATTCGAATAAAAGTGCATTCACATCCTGAACTTTAAAATGTGTGCGTAAATCGATATCCTAATAAATGCCCGTACATATTTAGCAAACACTCCAGCTACAAGGAATAGAGGATAATAATTGTATAGTAGATTCGAAGACCTTGGCTATGGTCGCAGTCTTATTTACCTGTATAGTGTTGGTTTGACCTTGATTTTGTAACTTGCTTGTAACTTGTTTGTGAAACGCACCTAGTCCTGCCTCCTCTGTCATAGTATGCAGGATAATTTACAACATCAGACCATTGACTTAATACACTCCAAGACGCCTTGCCTGCATCGTCAATGAGAAGTGTCACACACAGCATAGATGTATAATTAGTCAAAGTGACAAGTAAATACAAATTTTCTGATTAACTGCCGTGCCATATCTCTTCCTCATTGTCATAACTCCTAGTTCCATATCCCTATATTGCAACAATACTTGATATGGCTACTTTACCTTGCTGTGTCATCGCTTGTGTCAATCTCTCCCAAAAATGTATCACCTAAGGTGGAGTTAGTGAAACGTAATTGCAAACACAACTGCGTTCTGATGCGTGCGCAGGGCTTCCTGATTCCAATTGGAAATTCCAATCAGCCATCCACTTCACCCAACTTTTATAAAGCTTTCCTTACTGCAATTCAGAAATGCAGTCTTATCTAGTTGGTTAATTATAATCTGTCGATCTCAGAAAGCGTCCCAGTCAGGCTCGAGGAGTTATTGACTTAACTGAGCTCGAACATGAGTTAAACTGTAAACAAGGGAGAACTGCTCTCAAAGCTGTGATTCGTAGGCTTGTTTCTATTTCAATCAACACAGTAATATATTTTTGCTATAATTTTCAAAAGTAAACTCCTTTTTTGCATTTCATAAAGCCAGATTTTGGTCAATAAACTGCATGACTTACAAGCTTTATGCGATTTTGGATATGTAAGCTATGAAGGATCTTTTTAGTTTCGATAAGAGAGTACTCAGGCTCTATCATCTTCTGCTGGCGTAGAGTGGAAACATCCGAAATTTCAGTTGAGGGTATGCCGATATCGAGGGGTTTCAAATAATACTCGTATAAAAAATAAGTAATGTCATTAGTTGCAATGCCAAATACATATTTGTTTCATCAGAAGACCCACTAAAAATGGAATATGGGAGAGGACTAACTTACCTTACAATTCAAACCTGCTTTGTCACTCACTGACAGCCGTGGCTGTTTAGCCAAAGTGGTAGCTTGTAGCCATGATACACACAACCTGGTTTTAGATCCCTTTGATGATGAGGCCCAAACGGCAGTCCACTTTGGATAAATGAACCTTTTAGGAGTCAAGGCTATGTGGAGTTCAATGGTATCGTGAAGCTTACTCATAGCATTCTTGTAAAAATTCCATTATCAGGTCTAAAATAGTCTCAGGATGGCTATGACGACTAACTTCTTATTCTGCATTCTTAATTAGAGCTGGTCTAGGTCGTGCCATTAGCAAAGCCAACTTGAAACAAAACAAAAAATTGGGAGAAACCTGTTTGGCCTGCCCATCATTAGTATGTAGCAAAGTTATAAAAAATAAATTCGACAAAAATAAGCTATAGAGATTAGCGTAATATATAAGATAGCAGTTGAAGCAGTTAAGACTAGATTTTATGTAGATTTAATGTCCCGTACGTGCAATTTATTCCGCTATTTCGGATATTTCCGTGTTTATATTTTATCAAGTGGTGTAATGAAATCTCTGAACCAGGGAGATGGAAGAAGGATCCTACTGCGAAAGAGGGAGACTCTGTTATGACCCTGCAGGAGAGGATTGCGGACTAATTTGGCAGACTCAGATCAGCATTCCCAGCATAAGGGTGGAGGGAGTGAGAAAGCCAGCGTTAAGTATGAATAAATCTTATGAAATCCACTCAAGAGGGCACACCAGAACCACGTTTAAATAAGCAAATAAGAAATTGTGATAGTGAAGAGGTGATACGAGAATAGATAAATACCCCAGAATAGGAGAGATAGCCCAACTGTTTATCAGACACTTGGTCAAAGGATCGACTTCACCTGTCTCTGATACGCTGTACCGTGATGCTAAGAATAGAACGGCTTACTAACGATGCCGGCGAAACGTCTGGGAATTTACCACGTCCACGGTTCGACTCTGAAAATTATTATGCATACTATGGACCCCTGACATGGTGCGTTCTCCTAGATGTTACTTCATATATGACCAAGTTGCGAAAAAAAGGTCAAATAACTACTCTAATATAGTAACTCCTAAAATATGAGGTAATTTGCAAGTGTACAATTATTTGTTATAATTTAGAAAGTAAATTGGCTAAGCTAAATACAGATAGTTTAGAGCATATGATCATTCTATATTAGCCTTAATTTAAAATTTATTTATTTGGCGCAGCCATACGTACCCCTACTAGAAATATACATGAGTATTGAACCACAGTTGGTCAAAATTAAATAAACCTAATGCTTCATTGCACAAACAAAATACTAAATAAAAACTTAATCAGCCTTGTATAGTGATATTAGAAGGCCTAACCATGCCATTTAATTCCACTTAGCCATTATTCCCAAAATGTCTTCTCCTCAATTTGTAAGTGCAATTCACTCTTCGTCTATGACTTATCAGAACCCTCAATGTGAATCGAAAGTGGGATAAGCTCATCTTTGCAAACTGCCGTTACTTTAAGACAAAACCACTGGTGCTAGTGGGTAACAGAGCATATGCAAATTCTAATGTACGCCAGACCTCTCATATATTAGATTTATGGTGGGATTTTCAATTCATTTGTCAATATAAAAGACGACGTCACTTATAATTAGGATGAGCATGATTCGAAATTATCAGTAAAAATAATAAATTGCATCCTTAAGTGAAATATGTACCGGAGCCTTAGCATCATGACAACACGATATCACTTGTAACTGTAGCGAGTTTGTAACGTGTTATTACGATGAACACAACTCGGTTTTATCTTTAATGTAGTGATAAGAATTAGGCGAGGTCGGAATTGCATTCCATCCTTTCTGGTTGTATAATAAGTGAACTTCAACGACATAATGATACCTTCTTATATCATAATGGCAAAAACTATACTTAGGAACGTGCTAAATATATTTTTCGGAAATTACTGCTTGTTTTGAAGCATGCTCATTCTAAATAAATAGACTACGCCAAAAAATATGGGTATCCAAGACTCTCTTGTATTATAATTGTTGAGCTTACTTTCATTTCGAGTGAAAGTGTTCGGTGAAAGATTCGAAGGTCGTACCTACAAAAAGACGACAGCGGATTCATCCTGACCAGCTGTCGATTGTCCTTACTGAATATTCTTGTTGACACAGTTCCCGAGGAAACTTCTTTTGTTTTCGGTAAAAACGTGCTAAGCTTCCGTCCATCGTATGACGGATATCATCAGAGCAGACTATTATTCTTACAACTATATTCAAGCCAACGAGTCTAGAAAAATCACCGGCTAATTCCCAACTGCTGTATATATACTCTATATCTAAGCTCTTTCATGATTTAGTTAGTTTAAATAATATGTCATATTCTAAGCATTAGGTTGTGTCTGTCTGTGTGACTATGTGCTTGCATATATTCGTATATGTAGGAAACCAACAGTGATGGATGAAAGTTGTTAAAACAGAATACCTCTCATATATATGATTTAAAGGTAGTACCGAAATTCAACTTACATAAGGAAAATAAGTAATGTAGTCGATTATCATTGCAACTATAGCTTTGCTTCATCGACAATCCCACTATGGAATGGAATATGCGAAATGACCTGGGCTTATTTGAAATTTGCATATGCCCTATGACCCAAAGGGACTTGTGGTAATGTACGTAGTGGTTAATGTATCGAGATTATGCGCTACACTGTCATGATCCTAGTCCCACTGGGGGTGCTGACAAGACCTATGCTAATCTGAAACTGTAGTTCACCCTGGATGAGAATGCCTTTACAAAAGCAAGGCTATGTGAAATTCATTGGAAACGTAAGGTTTACTTATTTCATTGTGCGAAAATTCAACTATATCATATCAACTATCATATATCTGATTTACTGATAGCCTCGAAACCCTACTTACATACAAGAAAAACTTACGTCTGTTCTCGGCGATCAAGATTTGATAACCACCATCACCCCCTCTCTACATATATTTTAACCATCACTCCGATTTCGCAAGGTCGAGCACACATCTACTTATTTTGGTAGGCCTTTTATCTTCATGTGAGAAAGAAAGTGGACTAGAAAGTACGAAAAAGTGGCCGTAGTTAGAAATAAGACAAGAAAAGTAAAGGCTAGTTGAGTCGCCTCCTTCTCACAGGCGGCTCAACACCCTCTCCATCCTTGAGTCTTTTAGTTAAGCATAAATACTTTTTAACTTAATTGTTTCCTGAATTCCTTACAGTCAATATATTGCGTTTATTTCGATGGCCTTTATACTCTAACGTTTACCCGCAGGCATACCATAATCAGCAATACAAGTTTGATACCATTTACTCTCATAACCAGCTTCTGCCGTGTTCTCGGCTAACTCTGATTTCTGAACAAAACAGAGTTTACAGGCGCTTTGTCGAACGAGACCACGTCTTTCCAATATAAAAGCGACCACATTAACTCATTACTTTATAGCAGCCCGATCTGCATAACGGGTCAACTTTGTCCTTAAAAGTTGGTATAACTAAAGAAAATGTCTTAATTTCCCTGAAAATCGTTTGTATTCTCCACTTTTTTTACTAATTCGCCTATCTTGTTATAGAGAATGCAGGAAGGCAGTGACAGAATATAAGAAAATATCTCCTTATCTCTCCTTATGCATTAATCATTCAAAGAGGTATTCCTTGTTAATCTAATGTTAGCATACCTAAGGGATACTTATTCTCAAGCAATATTAGTTTGAACATATCCAGTTCATTATCCCAGTGGTCTCTATCGGCTAGTCATATGCTCCGCATAATCAAAGATTTTAAAACTCCAACCTTTGTTTTGTAACTATGGTTTAAGAAGAAATTAAGGATAAAGCAGCATGCGTTGGCTTCCTATATATATCCATGCTTAACTTCTCGCCTGCTCTGATCACAAAGACATCAAAAAAAGATAAATTAATATCTTTCTTTATCTCCATTGTCAACTTAATATTACAGAACAAGAAATTATCTAAGGTATCCTTATCATGCTGCCATATGGCAAAGTAGTAATCTATATAACTAACAGTTTTGGTGTCAATCATACCTCTTCCATGAAGCGTTTCTCTATCCTTGACATGTAATTATTCGCTATAATGGAAGCTAGGCCATGCACCTGCTCATAAAACGTATCATTAAAGGTGAAACATGCGCTATTAATGGATAGCTTAAGTAGCCCTAAGATCCTTTCTCATGTCCTAATCTTGCCTTCGTGTTTTCATTCTAAGAAAATAGAATAATTAGTTAAGAAATAATGGATAAAGGCAGTTTTCAAAGAAACTCTGACACTTGCTTCGGTTATACATTTTTAGAGAGAAATATGACCCACTATCAAGATCCGGCTGTTGCAAAATGCTGTGCTCCCGTGGTCGAACTAATGTTGGTGAGACCTATGGGCCGATACGCCAAAAATGAGCGGAGCAGAAAAATGCTTGAAAAGGCAGCTGTGTCGAACGGTCAGAAATGGCTGAACACGGGGCGGAGACTGGGCATGAGATAGAATGGTCCCGTACGCAGAAGTTTGCTGATCATGGTACGTCTGCTAGAAAACGCAAGAAAAGATAGGCTATTGAAATTAGTAGATTAGGGAATACGCTAAACGCGAGGAATGGTTGTAGAAAGATGAGTAAGAATTATTTAAGCCTTATTGGAAGATTGAAGGAGAAAGAGGGTGTTGAGCCACTGTCCAAAAGAAGACAATTCAACTTATCAATTGAGTGATGATTCTAACCAAATTCACCCCCGCTCAACAGGCATACCAAGCTTATCAACTAAAACAGACCTGCAGGACTATGCAATCCTAGCCATATTTCTGCTTTGATTATTAAACCTTAATAACCTAGACTAACGGATTCGGATTGGTGGTTTCGTAACCTGCTTCTCACACGTACAGGCTTACATCTCATCAATTCAACCAGGGTGATTTAGCGACTAAAGTAACCTCGGTCATCCTTTTATCCTTGGACCATTAAGCCTTGGTGATTCAGGGCTGACGTTAAACCTTTGTCTAATTACTCTGATTTATGACCGGTTTTGCGTACAGACGCTAACATGCATACATACACAGACACACTCAAGTAGAACTGAATTAACCAAACCTTTCTATGTACATCTATGTCTTAAATCTTTCTCGCACTGAGTATATATATATCATGTAAAAAAAAGCTTGTCAGTCTTCTTAACTTAGTGTTAATTTGAGGCTTTTGAAGGAATGAGTCCCATCGCATTACATAATTAACGAAAGCTCAGCCTGTCTTCGCCCGAGACGTTTGATGATATATTGTGGACTTTATCAACCTGAGAGTCGAAGTAATGCCAAACGGCTGCAGTATAACGCGAATTAATCGGAATCCTCAGGTGAGATTAGCCTACGAGTCTCTTCATTATGTACTTCCATGCGAAATGAAAGTACGAAATTTGATATTTATATATACTTACTTAAAGCAAGTCTTAGAAACTTGGAAGTTTCTAGTAAAGAACTTTTACGACTTTATAAATTAGTTGATCAAACGATAGGAGACTTACAGGTAAGTTTTGGTGCAGTGTTTATGTACACTAACATTACGATAAACGAGGCGATGAAGGCCTTAGAATTAACTCTAGAGCAACACCCAAAAATTATAACAGGTAAAAGGTTAGGAAAATATTTAATCTGAGATGTATTCACTCTATTTAGTTTAAGTTGATAAGGGAATAGTAGTAGAATTTTCCCACAATGATATGAGTAGACCTGACGTTTCCATTAAATTTCGCATGGCCTCGCTTTCCCAAAAGTTGTTCTCATCCAGGGTTAACAGCAGTTTCGACCTCGCATAGGTCTTATCAACACCTCCCACGGAAGTCGAACCAAAACAGTGCAGAATTTAAGCTTGCCACGTTAACCACTCGGCCACATTGCCACGAGTGCTCTTTGATCACAGGGCAGATGCGAATTTCAAGGAATTTCTATTACCAGTCCTTCATCACCTTAAACGAAATAGGGTTAATACATCTCATATTACTGATTTACTGGTAGTCTCGAAACCTTACTTACATACGAAAGTTTTAATCATTAAATTAGCCAATTTGGCAATGTATAATACATATATTACCTTAAATGGTAACTGGTATGAGCTAACGCGGGATTTGGCTATATGATCTTGTTTAGCCTTTACTTTAGCTATTAACTACATGGCCCAAACATAAGTTTGGGATTTGAAGAGCCTCTCCTAGTTCCAAAGTTATCAGTTCGTTATACGGATGATAACTTTAATATTTGGCATCACGGAAAAGATAATTTGGGTGAATGTATGAAGACCAGGAAGTTGTGGCTTTTTGTATGGTCGCAGTCTCCTTTCGTTGTATAGAAGTTGTTTGACCTTGTTTTCGCAACTTTGTCACATTGGTAAGAAGTTCTAGAGGAACGAGCCTAGTCTAGAGCCCATAGTATGCACGATAATTTCCAGAGTCAAGCCGTGAACGTGGTACATGCCCCGAAGTTTCGCCGGCATCGTCATTTAGCCTTGCCATTCTTAGGGCCACACTAGAACTCGTCAAGGAATCAAGTGAAGCCGATCATTTTACCAATCGTCTGCTATACATTTGTGGTATCTCTCCTGCCCTGGGCTAATTACCAATCCTATATCCTCATATTACGCCTTTATGTTGTATGGTGTGCCCTTTTGAGCGGATTTCATGAGAAATCTTCACATCCTACGCAGGCTTTCTCATTCCCTCACCTCCCTTCACCCTTGTGCTGGGACTGTTTAACAAAGTCTGTCATATTATTCCGCAATCCATTTCACATAGCTCCTAACAGAGTCTACCTCTTGCCCCGCAGGATCCGCCTCCTACCTTCCAGGTTTAGATATTTCACTCGACCCCCGCCACCCCATCTGTATAAAGCAATACATTATTTTCCACAATTATTCAAGCCTTTGATGGCATGCCTACACTTGCCTCGCTAAGTAGGCCCCTATAAATCAAGGTTCTCCATCTGCATGGGAGAGTAACTTCAGGCCAAAGATCCCGAGTAATTATCATGGTCAGGCCTTTGC